TGTTGCTCTCTGCTCTCTCTGTCAGGTGGGGGTGTGTACACAGCTTTATATCCAGCTGCTTTCCCACTGGGAGTTCATTATGTAGCTTAATCTAGGGAAGTGTGTGATAGGGAACACAGAGGGAAGTGGGGCTGTTCAGCCTGGAGAAAAGGAGGCTCAGGGGGGACCTTCTCCCTCTCTCCAACTCCCTGATAGGAGCTGGGGGGGGGTTGGGCTCTGCTCCCAGGGAACAAGGGACAGGAGGAGAGGGAACGGCCTCCAGCTGTGCCAGGGGAGGTTTAGGTTAGATATTAGAGAGAATTTCTTCATGGAAAGGGTGGTCAGGCACTGGCACAGGCTACCCAGGGCAGTAGTGGAGTCCCCATCCCTGGAAGTGTTCAAAAAACATGGATGTGGCACCTGGGGACATGTGTTGGTGTGAACACGGTGGTGCTGAGCTGATGGTCGGACTGAGTGATCTCAGGGGGCTTTTCTGACCTTGACAATTCTGTGACACGTGGCCATAGAGACCAGCAAATGCCTCCCTGAAGATCAGCATTCCTGCTTCTCCATGTACATGTTTTCAGACTTTCTCTTGAGGAGTGGCCTTCCCCATCCAGCCCCCGGAGCGTTCCCAGTGCTCTCGTCCCGCTGTGGTTTCCAGCTCGGCCACAAGCTGCTGGCTCACCCCAGCTGGTGGGCAGCTGATAGTAGCACTGTGTTCCTGTTCCTGAGCACGCTCAGGAGAGCGTAAAAATAGTTGGGAAAGCAAGCTAAAATCCACTAGGAAGGACAGAAGAAGGAGAGAGGAGCAGAAGAGCAACATACGGCCAATACTTGAGCTCGAGCTGAGCTGAAGGTGATGAAATCAATGGTGAGTGTGTGATAATCGGGTGCAAGAGGAGGTTCTGCCACGGCACAGGTGGGGGATGTGGGAACAGTGATATTGGGAAGTTAGAAATGTAAACAGGAATGGAGAACTTCTCCTCAAAACCCACACTTGCGTAATATCGGGCTGGGACGTGGGGTGGCATAACCGGGCTGGAAACGGCACCTTTCGGCAAAGGGAGGGAAGATACACCTTCCAAATAGTCACCAGGAAAAACGCTGCACTTGGCTGTGTTTGTTTACATCCTTATGAGGGCAACTTGCAGCTAAAGAAAATCTGGATTTGTTTGTTTTCCAAAGCTCTTTTTCCCTTGTGCCATTTCACTTTCTGCTTATCAGACCATCCCTCTCCTGCTCTGGGTAGATAGAGCCTGTCAGCGAAGGAACTGAAGAGGCAAGTTCCCAATCACCTAATTAAACAAACATGTTTATTAGAACTTCTCCAGAGTGCTTTTCCTAGCTATTTGCCAATGTTTTACTTAAATAAATGTCAAGAAAAACATTGTCAGAGGCTCATGTAATTTAGATTTTGGAGTTCCTGTAGACCAGCACTGCTCAGAGTAGGACTGACTTTGATGTTGGATTGGATTGCTTAAGGACTTGGAATTCCAAGGGTTGAAATATCTCCAGGGATAAAAGTTCTACAGGTTGAAAACCATTATTTGGAGTTTCCCCCCACAATTGTATTTTTACTTGTATTTCACTGTTACAGTGTGATTGATATACAGTGCAGCTGCTCTGCTTCTCCATAGCATCTTCCATGAAAAAACAACAGAGGTGAGAGCTGTGTGCTGGGAAAAGTGTTCACCTCATGCCCGAGTTCCCAAAATAGTCAGTGGAGCAGGATCTGAAGAAGGTGGTTCAAAGGAAAAGCTTAAGTTTAAATGCTCCTGTTCCCACCCCCTTCAGCACTGGGGCCCTGGGGCAGAGTCACTGCTGACAGGTGTGAGCTGGGCACTGACGGGATGTCCTTGAGCACCTGAACTGGAATGATCTGAACCCGGGGGTTGGGATTGACCCCCACTGTCCCCTCAGGTGAGACCCCTCCTCCAGCCCTGGGAACAGCACAGGGAGGACGTGGAGCTGCTGGAGAGAGTCCAGAGGAGGCC